AGTATTTTATATATTAAATTTTTGTACAATCTGTAAATGTTTTATGAATGTTCAGAAAGTTGAAATATAATAAAAAATTTTCTCGATTTAATTCAGAAAAATACAATAAGGTCTATTTAATAAAAAAATACTGTAAAAATTATCAAAAACTTAAGAAAAAAGACATATAATACGAAATGTTAGAAAGTTGCAATTTTAATTTTTGACATATACATGTATCTGATATATTATTCTATATCTAATTTCGTATGTACATTTTGTATTTACATTTTCTGAAATTCGCGAAAGGACTTCATTTTTTAGATATTAAATTATTTTCAATAATTTAATATTTAAAAAATAAAGTCCTCAAAAAAATTACAATTTATGAAAAGTTTTTCTTTTTATTTTAGAGAACTCGATAATGCGAGTTTTTAAAGTGTTTTCAAGTTTATATTTTCTAACAATAAAGCGACGAAAAGAAATTCATTTGAGCTCTTTGAATCGAAATAAATCGAAGGCTCCACACAAATCCGCGCGTTTTTGTAGTGAGCATAAAACATAGACTACACAACCTGTATGTACAATTAGCTGACAAAAATGAAAGAGATGGCGCGAAGATGTCCAGTCTTTGTCTTTTTCTGTTTAACAATGTAATATTGATAGAAAGAAAAGGGAGTTTATCCGTTTTCAAGCCCTTTTTCTCTCTTAATTTTGTTGATGACATTAGATATATACTATTTAGGTAATTGTCCTCATTAGATAAGGATGGCGCGGTCCATGTTCTATATCTTTGATCATGAATGATTGCCGTTTTGAAACGGGCGCGGTTTCGCGACAGACGGCGCTGATCGCGACGCGACAAGGAGTGCGTTAGTCAAGTGCATTGTTCATTGAAAACGTATTACGGCCGCATTATGTCCGTCGGACCGTAGCCTTTTTCACGCGGTTTTACTCGGTGAAGTCGCGCGTGACGAGTTATGCAACGTACGCCGCGTAAGGGCGGCCCGCGCCGGGCGATCGGACACCGCGGCAGCTGACCTACTTAGAGCTCGGCCTATCATCGTCGTATCTCACGACGCGGCGGCGAATCGTGTCGCCGAGGCACGCGAAAGGAGAGGTTCGTGATAAATCCCCGGTGGTTCGTTAGCAACGGCCAAAAAAGTCGGTCCGCACGAGTCGTCCCGCGGTATCATCGTCTCCCGGATCCGCGGAACGACGCAAATTGCGATTGCGGCCCATCGGCGGCGAAGGTAGCGGGGCCGGGGACGGACACCTTTTGGAAATTGCGTCTTTCCGCCCGCGACGGAGCTCGCCAATGAGACGCAGGGCCGTAACCGTCGTAACTTTCCGCCCGACTCCGGCTCTGCACCAACCGAGCCGGCATGTAACTCGGCATATAAATTCGAATTCTCTTTCTCCCTTTTCTGCTCTCTTTTCACCTTCCTCCGTCTCTTATCTCTTTGTATTTCGGAAGACTGTTTTTATCTTGGTAGTCGGTGGCGAGAGCGAGAAAGCGAACGCCGGCGTATCTCACTATCACTTCATGTATACGCTCGCGATTACGCGGTTTCCCTTTCGTTCGACCACTGCCGTACACAAGCGCTCGGCGAAACGGGGAAGGGGAGGGAGACGCCAAGTAGACGGCGATACGAATCGAAGCGACACGCAAAGATCGTCACACGCGCACGACCCTGACCCTCGCACTTTATCCTGAACGACGATCTTCGGAGCAATTTTTGCGTGAATTTGAAATCGAACGGTATGTAGACATTGTAGACTGAAGGAACTCATTTCCCGCCGTCGCGAATTGAGCCAATTGAGATTTCGAGCCGCGCGACGTTGATCCGTTCGCAAAGGAGACAAATTTTCGTTCGCTAGGAGAATGAGAAAAAGAAATAGGAGAAGGAAAAGATCCGCTAATGAAAGAAAAAAAAAAATGCGAACGTATGGCGGACGGCGTGCGGCTGATACGGTCCTGGCGGTTCTCGTGCTGTCAGTGCGCGACAGTGCGCCGGACGCTCGCTTGACTTAGGGAGTGCCCGTGCCGATGCAAAGTGTAAGTGAAGTGGCCTACAGACCTACATTTGTCTAACGTTCCATTTTTTCACGGGCCGACGGGAACGGGAGATTAACAAATACCGCGCGCGTTACCTCCGCTCTTTTCTTCGGTAAAACGTGGCGTGTGCGTGTACCTGCGATGCCGCCGTCCCGTGATATACCAACGTTCGACTGACGAGACGGACGAGAGAAAGACAGAGAGAGAGAGAGAGAGAGAGAGAGAGAGAGAGAGAGAGAGAGAGAGAGAG